GAGAAAGAGTGAGCAGGGGAGGGTCAGAGAGAGAGGGAGTCACAGACTCTGAAACAGGCTCCAGGCTCTGAGCTGGCAGTCAGCACAGAGCCCGACGCGGGGCTCGAACCCACGAACCGCGAGATCATGACCTAAGCGAAAGTCGGACGCTTAACCGACTAAGCCACCCAGGCGCCCCTTGTTTTTGTTTTTTTAAATGTTTATTTATATTTGAGAGAGAGAGAGAGAGAGAGAGAGAGAGAGAGAGGCACAGAGAGCCTGGAGCCTGACTCGGGGCTTGAACTCATGAACCATGAGATGGTGACCTGAGCCGATTTTGGACTCTTAACTGACTGAGCCACTCAGGCACCCACAGGGAGCGAAGTTTTAAGAGGCACATCCCCTGCCCATCTCTGGGGAAGTGGGCAGGTGGCGGGGGCGGGGGGCGGGGGGGGGCGGACCCCCGCTAGGGTGCCCCTAGGGGCTGGAGTGTGTATTGCAAGCCCCGTGGGCGGTGGCGGGAGGGGTTGGGGTCAGGCTGCTGCTCTGAGTGAGGGAGGTCTGGGTGGGTCGTGCCCGATGAACCGCTGCGCCTTCTGGATGGATGACACCCCGTGAAGTTCTTACTAAGGCTGCTTTCAGGAGTTCATTTTATGTTGTTGCCCGCCCTTCATGGCTGCAGTAACGAATATTTACATATTGGAAACATCGGCGATGCCCCCAAAGGCTGGACACCAGCACGTCCAATTAACTTTTAATGACGTTTCATTTGTGACAACGCTGCTGGCATCAAGGCTCTGCAGACGGCTGTCCTGGCCGGAGCGCCCACACACCAGGCACCGGGAGGCTCTGTCCCCCTCGAGGTGTGACCCCCCCCCCCCCGCCACCGGCAGGACGCGTTGGGTCTGACCTCTGCATCAGGTGGCTGGCTTTGCCTGGCAGTGGCCAGGGCACCTGACATGCAGCCTAGATGGCCCCTGACCTCAGGTCCCCCAAACGGCCGGCCTTGGCTTCATTCATCTGTTTGCTCACTTGGTAAGTATTTAGTGACCACCCGCTGGGCGCCGGCCCTCCTCGCTGCCAGGGACACAGTGCTGGGAAAGCCCGGTGTCTCTTCTGGGGCAGGAGGCCGGCACAGGACACCTGACCACATGTGGGCCACAGGCGGACTCTAGGCCGGGCCTCGCTGGAGCCGCTGCCCCCACACTGGTGGGGTCTCTCCCAGCCCTGCCCCCTGCCCCCAGGCTCCCCTCACGCAGGCCCAGGCACAGCGAAGCCACAGTCTCTGTTCAGAGATGTCGGGGCTGGTGGGGGGCAGGAAGGGGCGAGCACACAGCACAGAGACCCCCAGCCGCCTGCGGGCCTGCCGGGTCACCCAGGCCGTGGCAAGAAGCAGAGTGGCCAGCCAAGGCCAAGGCCGGAGGACGGCTCTCCTGGGGGCGGGGGTGGGGAGGTGGCAGCCCTGGGTCACCCATGGCTGTGAAGTTTCTCTCTGTCATACTTAGGTTTCTTAAAAAAATTTTAACGGTTATTTATTTTTCTCTCTTTTTAAAATTTTTAATATTTTTGAGAGAGAGACAAAGAGTGATAGAGCATGAGTGGAGGAGGCAGAGAGAGGGAGACACAGAATCAGAAGCAGCTCCAGGCTCCCAGCTGTCAGCACAGAGCCCGACGTGGGGCTCGAACCCATGAACCATGAGATCATGACCTGAGCCGAAACCGGACGCTTAACCAACTGAGCCACCTCGGCGCCCCTAACAGTTATTTATTTTTGACACACACACACACACACACACACACACCCCATGAGCGGGGGAAGGGTGAGCTGTCAGCACAGAGCCCAATGTGGGGCTTGAACCCATGAACTGTGAGATCATGACCTGAGCTGAAGCCAGACACAACCGACTGAGCCACCCAGGTGCCCTAACAGACTATTTTTAAAGAAGTTTTAGGTTTAAAGAAAAACTGAGTGTAAAATACAGAAAGTTCCCATGTACCCCTCCCCTGTTATTAATCTTGCATTGGTGTCATATATTTGTCACAACTGATGAGCCAATATTGATGGGCTATTAACTGAAGCCCACATGCACCGTGGGGTCCCTCTCGGTGATGTGCATCCTGTGGGTTTGCACATAGAGTGACGCGCACCCACCTTCACAGCATCGCACGCGCTAGCTTCACGGCCCTGAACCCCCTGAGCTCTGCATGTTCATCTCCCCGCTGCCCTCACCCCACCTCCCGCCACACCCACAGCCGCTGACCCTGTGACGTCTCCGTGGTTTTGTCTTTTCCAGAAAGTCACGTAGTTGGACTCACACGTCGGGGCTTCTCAGCGTGGCCGCTGCACTTAGTGACGAGCGTCGAAGCCGCCTCCGTGCGTTTCCATGACTCGAGAGCTCAGTTCTTGTTCGCGCTGCGTAATAATAGTCCGTTCTCTGGGTCCACCAAGGTTCAGCTATCGTCACCGTCTGAAGGACGCCGTGGTCACTTCCACGTTTTGACAGCCACGAACACAGCTGCTCTAGGCATCCGTGGGCACGGTTTGTGTGGACACAAGTTTTCGACTCTTGTAGATACATACCAAGAAACACGATTGCTGGATCGCCCGGTAAGTGTGGTTAGTTTTGTAACAAAACACCAACTCTCTTCTGAAGTGGCCGCACCAATCTGCATTCCCGCCGCCCCACGCCCTCGCCAGCGTCTGGGTGGTTGGGGTCGTGGGTTTGGGCCCTTCTGATGGGCGTGCGCAGTGTCTCGCTGTCGTGATTTGCGTTTCCCTGACGACCTGTGACTAGGAGCGTCTGTCCACGCGCCCGTCTGCATCTGCGGATCTTCTCTGGCGGGCGGCCTGCTCGGGACTCTGGCCTGTTGTTCTAAGTGGGTTGTTTTCTTACTGTTGAGCACAGAGTTCTCTCTGTACTTTGGATGACAATCCTTGACCGGGCGTTCGTTGTGCACACATTTTCTCCAACCTGAGACTTGTCTTCTCGTTCTTACAAGTGTCTTTGGCAGAGAAAACACGTTACATGTCCGTGCAGACGGGTCGTGTGGGTGTGTCTTCCACGACGCCCGTCTTTGGTGCCCCAGCTGACCAGTCACTGCGCAAACCAGTCCCTTCTTGGGAGATGGGTTTCTTTAATGGGTGGGGTGTTCTGCAGCCTTTCTGCGCGTGGGTTTTTTAGATTTATGTTTTTGTATAAGCTGTAGTGCGCCCTGTGCCATCGCCGACGGCTTGCGCGGGCCAATCACACGCTGAGCTGGGCAGGAAATGTTGAGTAAAAATGAAGTTTCCGTCTGGCAACTTCCAACCAAGGTTGTGCGGGGGCACGAGGGGAAGCCCCCCAGGCAGGTGTCCTGCGCCTGACGTCACTCGTGGTGTGATGGGCGGGCGCCCCAGAGGCCTGGAGCCTGGTAAGACCTGGTCTGAGGAGGGCAGAGAGGATGCCCCCAGTGGGTGCAGGAAGGGGCCGGGCTGGGGTCGGGGGGAGTCCAAGTTTCCCTACAGCAGCCCGAGGGGCCGGGGTGTTGGACAGATTGGCCCCTGTGCTTGCCCAGGGCCCTTGCTACCTTTCCGTCTGTCCAGTGGGCACATCCCCATCCAGGGGACACACGTGTGCCCCCTCCTGAACTCCTACGCGGGAGCCCTAACCCCAGAGCGAGGGTGTTGGGAGGTGGACCCCCACAAGTGGGATCCCCAGCAGAGGGAACCCCGAGAGGCCCCCTGCTCCTCCCACCGCGTGAGGACCAGGAGGAAACACCGCCTGGCGCCCCGAAGAGGCCTCCCCGGGGCCCAACGGCATCTGCGCTCCGGAGCGGGGCCACACCGGCGGGCCAGCTTCCCTCTGGCCTGGGGAGCGCACGGAGGTCCACCCGGTGACCGCTCAGCCAGGGGGCAGCGCTCGTCTCTCGTTGGCACCGGCACCCACGGCGGATACGCAGGGCACACCCGCTGCTGCCGGAACGAACCGCCAGATGCAGAGCTTTGTCGTCGCACAGTCCTGACATCAGAAGTTCGACACCCCCCCCCCCGCCCCCGCGGGGCTAAAATCAGTGCGCCTGAGGGCGGAGCAGCTCCTCTTGCCGGCTCTGGGGGCGCATTTCCTCGCCTCCCCCAGATGCTGGAGGCCCCCCTCCCCGCCCCTCCTTGGTCTTCACAGCATCTCTGTGCTCAGCGCTCCTTCTTGGACCATTTTGAGGACCTCCGTGGCCCCAAACGGGGCTCCCCTGGGTCATCCAGGGTAATGTCCCCACGTCAGGGTCCTTCACCTCGTCTGCAAAGTCCCTTCTGCCATGTGAACTGACAGTCGCAGGTTCTGAGGATCAGGATGCGGGGGCCGTGGCTCTGCCTCTCTCGTGGGGACGCAGTGACTGGTGACACGCTGGCGGCTGGGCCCGGAGGCTCCCCTCCGGAGCGCTGTACTAGCCGCACCCGCTGGGACTCCCGGCCTCACGCTGGCATTTGCGTCCACTCCCAGGAGGACTCAGTGTGGCAGCCGCATCCTGTCCGGATCACCTCACTTGGGCCAGAGGTGATGGCGGGCTGATCGTGGGCCTCTGGGGGACGAGGGGGCTGCGGGGGACCCGGGCCAGGTTGGTATGCTCGCCTCCCTGCCCAGCACCCGGCCGCAGGAGGAGGGGCTGGTGGGGATGTCACAGGGCAGGTGCCTGAGGCCTGATCCCCACTCATGTTCACGGGAGGCGGGGCCCTGAGGCCTGGACCCCCTGCCCCTTCCCTTCTCAGAGCTCCGGGCGCAGGGCACCGGCCCACCTCCCTCTCCTCGGGCCAGCTGCTGAGCAAGCCTGTGTCCCAGGGCCCTCCTCCAACGTGGGCTCCGGGTACAGCCCGTGAGCACAGCCCACCTGGCGGGCGCCGGCCAGGCTTGCCCGGCACGGCCCTGGGGACTCGGGTCACAGGTGGGGGGGGCGCTGTCAGGAGCATAAAATAAACGTGGTCCCGTTTCCAGCACCCCTCTCTCTGCTGAATGTAAAAATGAATTAAGACTTTTTTTTTTTAAGCAGGTTTAGTTTTAGAGAACTGTGCGGTGAGCTGAGAGCCTTCCCGTGCGCCCTGCCCCCCCCGCAGCACCCCCCGCAGCGCCGGGGCCAGCGGGCACACACCGTCATCACCCCAAATCCGCAGCTCACCTTAGGTCGGTCTGGGGGCCGTGCATTCCGTGGTTCTAGACAGACGTATAGTGACCCATGTCCACCGTGAGAGTGGCACGCCGTGTCGTCACGACCGACCCTGAAATCTCTGCTCTGCCCTCCATCCATGCTCCCCTCCCCCCACCGGCAAGCACTGTCTCTTTACCGTGTCCACAGTTTTGCGTTTTCCAGAAGGTCATCGAGTTGGAACCCACAGTGTGCAGCCGGCCCCCCCGCCCCGGCCTCGCTTACTTAGTGACACGCACAGAAACGCCTCCACCCTTTGGGCCCGAGAGCCCCCTTCCTTCTGGCCCAAAGAACAGCCCGTTGACTGGATGCACCACAGCGTACTTCGCTGTCACCTGCCGAAGGACGTCATGGAGGCTTCTGAGCTCCATCAGTCGCAGACGAGGCTGCTCTGCTCACCTGCACGTGGGGCTTCGTGGGGTGGGGCTGCTTCTGTCCCAGGACTGAGGGGTGACTTGTGTCCCTGAAACTTCCTGTGCAGAATCCTAGGCCCCAGCACCTCGGAATGGGACCTGATTTAGAAACGGGGCTGTTGTGGACGGTGTGGGTCCAGGTGAGGAGGCCCTTCTCGTGGATCTCCGACTGGTGTCCTTGTAGGAAGGGGACATCAGGACCCAGATGTGCACGCAGGGAGGGGCTGGGAGGGGGCTGGGTGCCATTGGAGACGGAAAGCGTGCCACGGCCGCCAGACAGAGGCTGCAGAAGGAGCCTGCGACGGCTCGGGCTTGGACTCGCGGCCCCAGAACCAGGAGACGCTCCACCTCGCGGAGCCCTGGGTCTGCGGCTCTGGTTACGGCGGCCGCGGGACACCCGCCGGGGAGCACACACCATCGCACCTGTGAGGTCGGCGCGCTGTCGGCCTGCACGCAGCCGAGGACCCGGGCACAGGCAAGCCCCCCGGGCGCCCTCCCTCCCCCGCTGTGTGCTGGCCCGACTCCCCGCTGGCGCCCGGCACCCGCCCTGAAGCTGCTGCGGGGCAGAGGTTCATGCTCCGAGGGCAGGGGGCTGACCTGAGCCCCTGCCGGTCACCCAGCAGTGAGTCGAGGGGACCCCTGGGCAGACTGCATCTTCTTGAGGGTTTGGAGTCCGGTGACTTTGCACACTTGCCCTGGAGCCTCGCCGCCGCCCTGCTGGGCCGCCGAGCTGCTGACGAGGCTCACGCAGCAGCTTCTGCAGGAAGGGCAGCTTCAGCTCCCCGTTTATGCCTTCAGTTGTGCAGCCGGGCCTCCAGAACCCCATTCGTCAAAGCTGCGGCCTGAGGAGGGATCGCGGCGGACAGAGAGGCCATGGCCAGCCCTGGAATGACCTTGGCCGTGGGAAGTGCCCTTTGTGATGTCACAGTTAATTGGCCGGGAGAAAGGCCAGCGGCCCAGTGAGTGAGCCCAGCCGGCAGACCTGCTCCCGGGCGCCGGGCACACTGGGGGCCGGGGCGCTGGCGCTGTGCGGGGTCGGGAGGTCCTGGGGCTTCTGGGGGGTGTCCTGGGGGCACCTTTACTAGGCCTTGGTGGCTTTAGTGGGGAACTGAGGAGCCGGACACGGGCGGTCACTCCTCAGGGAGGGGACACAGGCCCAGAAGCGCGGCCCACCCCCTCCCTCCTGGGCCTGTGAGGCCGGAGCTGCGCGTCCCATTGGGCTCTGCTCCTCTGTGGTCACTGGCGCCCTGGGGTGGGGCACCCCAAAGTCTGAGAACACAGTCCGTTCTGAACCCGGGCTCGACCCCACGTGGCCCCCTGCCCCCTCCAGCCTCACTCCTCCCACGCTCTCGCCTCGAAGGTGGGCAGTATTGTAGGTCTTGTTGCCGCCCGGGCAGTGCCCAAGCCCGGCCCACCTCGCACCTGCCAGGCGCTCGGAACTTCTGGAAGACGCAGACTGCACTGCGCGAGGGATCCAGCTGAGGGACTCAGTGACCCCGTATGCCAGGGGCACGCACAGCAGCCCCCGAGCCCGGGCGCAGCCCCCAGGGAGGCTGGCGTCCTTGAGAACATTACTAGTGACTCGTGTGAGTTGTGCCAGACGTTGGCTTCGCAGAGCACTGGCCTCCCGCAGCCGAACAAACACGAGAGCCACTTTGTGCCTTGGCGGCACTTGCTTTAACCCAGCCAGGCCCAGTGTCGTCTGTCGCCAGTGTTTTATTGACAGATGAGGAAACTGAGGCACAGAGGGGCTCGGTGACCTGCCTGGGAGCCCAGAGCAAGTAAAGGGCAGAGCTGAGGCGGACGCTCAGAGCTGGCTGCCTCCTGACCCAGGGCCCCCGCAGGGTGGTGATTGGGCGGTGCCCTCCCGCCCGCCCTTGGCTGTGGATGGATCAAAGTCCCGGGTCCCCGGCACCACCCCTACCGCAACGGCCTGGGAGGTGACCAGAGACTGGCTGCTAATCAAATAAAAACCCTGTTTCTCAGCAACAGAAATGACTTCCGGTTTCACCTGTCAACTAGTCAATGCTGGGTCAGCACACGGAACTTTCTGGGCTCTGTGGTGCTCAGGAACTGCTGCAGGGCCCACATGGGGGGCATGAGGGGGCATGTCTCGGGGGGTGCAGGTGAGGGGCAGGTGGAGCCCCGGAGCCCCGATGGGGGCCCCAGTACCCGTGACAGGACCTCACCCCCCATGTCACCGTCTCTGGGCCTAAAACCAGAACCAGGTCCCGGGCCGTGAGGAGGTGCGGTGCCTGGCACACAGCAGGTGCCCAGCGAGCGTGGGATGCGCTGCGGGGAGCCCCCGCCCGCCCCCACGCCTGCCTGCCTTCTGCTCCGGGGTCTGGGCGCCTTCGCGGCTCTGAGGCTCCCCTTCCCCAGGGCCGTGCTGGGTCAGCAGGGGCTCCCCTGCCCCCAACTCTGTCCCCTCGGCTCTGCTGCGTGGACGTGGCCTCGACCTTTTTCCTTCTCCTCCAGGAGACGCCCGCAAGGAACCGAGGGCACGTGGACGCTGTCCCCCCTGAACCTGGGCCCCCAGCCCCAGGACTAGTCACGACCTTTATTCCCCTTCCCTCCGGAGTCGCTGAGGGGAGCTGAGGGTGCCCAGGGCCTCCCTGGAGACCCGGCTGAGCGCCTCGGCGACCCTGCACATGGGGGGCCCGGGCTTCGAGTGGCTGCCTCCGGAAGGTGCCCCCTGAGAGGGTGTGGGCACCTACTGATGTGTGCTGACCCCAGCTGGGGCTGGTGGGGAGCAGGTACACGGCTCAGGGCCCTGAAATCACCACGGGGGGGACTTCAAGTCCAAATGGCGCCCTGCTGACCCCAGACAGCGAGGCTGCGACCGGGATTAACACCCTCCCGTTCTGCACGTGCGAGCGTGACCCCTGCGGGGACGGCTGGTACCCGCCGGCAGCGGGGGAGGGCGGGGGCCACCGCCCTAGGAGACAGGACCCCCCGGACACCAGGGTGCTCCCCTAAGACACGGGGTGGAGGCTGCCGAGGCAGCATGAAGTGACCGCCTGTCACCAGGACGGAGCCGCCCTTCCCCCACCTCCACGCTCTGGGCCCACGTGGGGCCGGGAACTCGGGGGCTGGTCCCGAGCGGCTCGGAAACACACACCTTCGGCCGCCAGCCGCGACTGTCCCTGCGGAAGCTGGGTCCAGCGGCCGGCCCGGTCACCGCCTCACGGCAAGCGCCGAGACCCAGGCCAGGCAGGGCCCTCTCTGTTACCAGGTAGCGCCATTTGGCGTTAAAGTTTGCGGCAATGCTTTTTTAAGCCCTTGTTTATTTTGTCATTGGGCGCAGTCTTGGGAGACAGATCTATCTGCAAGGGGCGCCTCTGACACGTTTATTGGAGCAGCTGATTGAAAAGCCCAAGCTGGGCGGGGGGTTGTCTCCATGTTTGATTACAACTCCAGAAACCACAGCGGTGATTGGAAGCTGCTAGAAGGGAGGCTTCTGGGAGGCAGGGGCAGGGCCAGCTCCTGGGTGCACCCTGGTCCCCCCACCCACGGGCTCCCATGCCCCGCCTGGCCATCAGTCTGAGGGAGGACTCAGTGGGCCCCCAGCCCTGGGAAGACTCCTTCAGCTCTTCTCCCGCTCTGAGAGTGGCCCTGAGGGAGCTGTGGGGTCCAGCCCCCGGGAGGGGGTCTGGGGAGAAGGTGGGTGGAGGAGGGGCGAGGCCCTGGCCCAGGGAGGGGGAGGC